AGGCTAAAGTGCTTGTGCGCGCATATGTGGGCAAGCAAGGTGACCAAATATAGGTTGCAAAACAATTACATTCTTTGATCATGTAATAAGCAGCTAACAAAAAGGGTGCACCGTTTCGATCTTTATCATGGAAATGTGGCAGGTTAATATATTTCACAGGTCACAATAATGATGAGTCAGGCAACCAACATGGTGTGTATTGCTTTTCATACATGAATTATGTCTAGCTCAGATGTTTGTCCTTCTGTTTGTGTTCACCAAAGCATGGCATAGATAAGCCAGGATTATGCATATGAATGGAATAAAAATTGATCGCATGGATATAGTAGTATGTACCTGGTCCCAAAAGGCATGGGAGGAGCAAGCATCATAGCAGGAATCTAAAAATCCCCAAAAATCCAATGGACGATGTGATGCTTGGTGATACTCTTTCGGGGTGCCAAGTTATAACCTCCACTGGTACCCTGCTACTCACAACTCTGTTTCCACTATCCTGGAAGCAACACACGATCACAACGCCTCTGTACAGAACAGACGAATATTTTGGTAGCAAAAAACGGTGTGCGGAAATTTTACTTTGTTACCTACTGAATGGAGCAACAGCTAATAAATCTGTAGACTGAAGCTCAATTGAAGGAAAAAGATGTGATCATAAGAGAAAAGCTAAATATAATAGAAAAGTCCAGCATGCCAGCACAAGCACTTTCTCAATAAAGCTGAGGGTCATTCAACCATAGTGCAGGAGGCAGGAAAAAGGTCATGCTTCATAGAGCCAACGGTGTAGCACAAATTCGTTTACAAAAACAACAATCGTTAAAAAACCACTGTCCATTGGAACACATGAAGTTGTCAAATGTGCATGAAAAGGGATACAATGAACATAGAATTTATGGATGCGCTAGAATACAGGGGCAATGATGCTACAAATAGCATACTGTATTTATCAAAGTAAACAAACACGATGCATCGACATGGCAGAAAAGGATCCACTAAACTAATATATAAGCAAAATAAGATGATAATCCTAAAAACCTGAACAAATTATCTATCTTCCAATAGTTACTAAGAGGAAATTTCATATTTACCTAATAAGTTATCTGGTTGCAGCAGTTTAACCTCATAGTTCAAAAATAATAGCATACTCAGTCCTTGTCCTTAGGATTCAATTACAGTCTGCAATGAAACCAAAAAACAAATTTGTAACAGGCATATAAGCTATGCACCTAGCTGCAAAGAAGAGAAGAATGATTAAGGAAAGAGTAGGAATCAGAACAACTAAAGAAAGAGCAAGAATCAGAATACCTTAATATTGAATCGTAGCAATTTTTGCAGATAGCAGTGAAGTGCGGGAAACAAAATTGGATTGTTGTCAGGGAGAAGTAGATCATCATTGTATATGCCAAAGTGCTTCAGTTCATTAAGAATGCAAAACAGGACCATGCATATGTAATGGTTCGTATCACTCCATAGGCCAGATGCTTCAGTAAAAAAAAAGTGGAATAGAAACGTTATAAAACAGCGGCGGCCACCCCCTACCCCCGCGGCACGGCGGCGCCGCGTCTTGAGAGATGGAGAGAGACGAAGCGGATAATAGAGTTGGACGAGAAAGAAGCAGCGGTGTGTATAGAGGACATAGGAGCACAATATATTTTTAAATGGCAGAGTGAAAAATGCCGAGGTGAAACACAACCATGAAACTGGAAACAAGTGGCCAAAACTTTTCACAGTAACGTGGCCACCCTGAGCGCACGCCAACTGCAGCCCAAATGCAGGAAGCAATATATTGTCACTTGAGATCAGAAAAAAGATCATAAAACAGTGATAATCATAACCGCATCTTCTCATATGGTATAGTTGAGAAGAAGATATTTGTTTCCAGCAACATTGTCATTGACATGTGGCGGAAAAAGGTAAAATAGCAATGGCATGTAAATATTGTCAAGTTTAGCATATGGGAATGCGTCACTAGCAACTCTGCAAAGATCATAAAAGAGCCGTAATCATGTCTACATACTCTTATTTAATTCTGCAAAGCGGCTGGGATTCGCTCGAGGACAACCCGTTCATATTGGCAAAAATCACTTCCTATATTTCAGAAAAAGGTATCTATCTCCAGGATCATTGGCATTGACATATGGTCAACCAAAAGATGCAAAATAGCAAAGGCACGAAAATATGGTCAGGTTTATCAGAAGCACCTCACAGGTACCATCATATGATCAAACTGCAATTGGTACATCATCAACAACGGCATATGCTAAGACTAAAATAAATAAAGCAGCACCATAGGCACACTTATATATACTGATGAAAAGATTACAGCATCAACACAGTGGCACAAACCCTATGCGTAAGCAAAATAAATCCATATATACAGGAAATGAAATCAAGGGATCAGAGACATAAGGTAGGAAAGGAGATAAAGGGAATTTTTTGGCACCCGATTCACTGCATAGATTGAATGGGGAGCGGACAAATTCAACCATGCAACCGACGGATCCAGCCATCCGTCACCTGAGCCGGCAAGGGAAGGGGAGGGAAGCAAGAGAGAGAGCCCACCTTTACCTGTATAGCGGTCGGGCAGCAGTCGTTCCGTGGCCACCTCTCCCGCGGCCCGTGCCCACAGTGTGCGGCTACGGCGGCAGCCAGCGGGCCTGCTCGCAGCGGCGCGCTCGCACCCACCCCCGGCCAGGGGCATGGCCGCCGAGCACAGACAGCTAGGGGTTGGTCGAGCACATGCGGAGCGGTGGGAAGGGGCAGCGCGGGGGAAGCAGTGCCGGTGGCTACCGGCATGGGCTGGTCGTGCCACTCCATGGCCGAGGATGTCCATCGTCGTCGGGGCGCCCACCGTGGGGGCCCACGCGCGGCGCTGCACAACAGGCTGGGGCCGCCGTCGCCCCGCCAGTGCGGCGCACGGCGCACGGCCATCTGGTGGCGCTGGGCCCAGCCGACACACCGCCCCGTCGGGCGAGAGGGAGAGGGAGAGGGAGAGAGAGGAAGGGAAGGTGGGCGCGGACGCGGCGGAGGCGACGTCTGCAGGAGCAGAAGCATAGAGGTCGGGAAGGAGAAGAATCGAGAAGGGGAATTGTGTAGAAGTAGAAGCCAAAGCTGGGTATATATTTGGTCTCGTGGATTCGGACGAGAAGCCGGAGAAGCTAAAGGAAAGAAAAGAGGAAGCTGGAGAAAGTCACGAGAAGCGGTAGAAGCTGTTTCCGAAGAGAATCCGCTTCAAGCAATAAGGGCCACGGGATGGAGGATCGGACGGCTGGGGTCATTCGGGCCGACGTGGATGCTGTTTCTGGCGGCGGCCAAAGTAACTTGCTTTGATAAGAGTAGATACAATAGCATCGTTCAGTCATGAATTCAGTTAGCACACATAATTCAGTTAGTATAGATTATACAATTGCATTCAGATTATACTTTGATGCAATTGTAGGGAAAACCAATGTAACTTTATTTGAACATACAGACTACAGACTGAATTCCATATCATAATCATGTTGAAATTGGAATATCAATCTCTAGTAACAGAGAGAATATATCATGTGTGTGGCTTCCTCCGGTGTAAATAATTGCCTATACAAATTATATACTATCGGCTAAATAGCAGGACCAATCACCATCCTTCAAAGACGAAGGTGACAGGATAAACAATTTTCAGCTCTAAATTGATTGTCCCAAAAATAGTTTACAATCCCCTTTCTCGAGTAGAACCTGAAGCTTAATTCTAATCTCTGAAAATTCAAGTTGTACAAAAGAATATCATCTTGGAAACATCCCCTTTCTTTGCAATCTAATTCTAATCCCAATCTGAATTAGGGTTCAAGGCAGCGGACAATCCACAGAACAAGAATCAAATACGAGCAAGAAACAAGTGAGATCAGTGTATCAAGGAGACCTTGTCCAGTGCAGATGGATTGGGAGCAGAGGGAGAATCGGAGGCTTGGGCGTTTCCATAAAGGTCCGTGCCACGCAACGGCGAGTCATGCTCAATTTCTGGCCCTGTTCGCTTGAACTCATCAGCCATACCGATTTAGTAAAATAACAATGTTTTTCTATCACAACAAATTAGCATCAGCATCAGCATCAGCATCAGCTGTTTTTCTAGCTAACCGAACAGGGCCAAAGATGCCCAAGCTTCTAGCAGTTCTCATGCTTTCTCGGCCGCCAGTGACGCGCTCGACCTGACCGCCGGCGACGCCGCTGCCGCGCCCGCCGCCGCCGTCCCCGGGAAGGAGGTTTCGATGGGTTTGGATGGTTTAACCGTGACCGGGAAGGAGGCTCTCCAAGTCATTGTTGGGTAGATGGGTTCCAGCCCAGAACGCGTTGTAACCGTGACTTTGGTTTCGGTTGGGCTGGTTACAGGCCGGCAGCCGGTTTTGTTAAACCGTTGAACAGGGTTAGCTCATAGTAATACTATCAATGGTGTAATGGTATGAACATCATTGATGTAATAGAAGCATTAATTTCATATGCATCCAGTATATATATGTGTATTTGTGAGTACACACGGATACAAGAACGCAAATATGCCACATGATACATAGTTAAGCTGGCTACAAACTCCCATTTACCCGCGGATTAGTGTCCGCATGTAGACAACACATGCATACAAGCATGTAAGTGGTGGGAACTTATTTATGTAGTATAGTAGGAGTGCATATGATATCAGTAAATAGCCATGCAACAACACACATGTACGTACGGTCATGTCGCGCATGCGAGCATGTTGCACATGGGACATGGCGTGCTCAGGCTCACAGCGTGTTTAGTTGGTTGAAGTTTGGAATTTGGGTTATTATAGTACTTTCGTTTTTATTTGGTAATTAGTGTTTAATCATGGACTAATTAGGCTCAAAACGTTCGTCTCGCAATTTCCAACCAAACTGTATAATTAGTTTTTTTCATCTACATTTAATGTTTTATGCGCGTATCGTAAGATTCGATGTGATGGATACTGTAACACTTTTTAGGATTTTGGTTGAGAACTAAACACGGCCTCAGCCGCTGATTTTGGTGCACGTGAGGGCGCCGAGAAGAGTGGGGGGCTCGAAATCGTCATCGACATCGTCAGTGCCAACATAAATGCAGGAGCACACCGTGAATCGTGGAAGAATGCTCGCCAAAGTGGTATTGATGCCGGCGGGCTTCTCGGTGGTACTGTTGGATTGTAAAGTCAGAATAATACGAAGCTTAAATAGCTCCAATTTAGCCTCTTCGAACAAAGAAATGTTAGCAAAACCAGCTGGGCACAGAGATTGGGATGGTGCCAGTGCAGGAGTCGTCGGTGGTGGAGTCTGAGCTGGTGGAGTGGGTGGCAGGAGCTGGGCCTTGGTGGATGCCACGAGCACGAGAGCCATGACGAGGCACGGAAGCGCCGGGGAAGCTATGGACTTGCTGACGAAGGCCATTGCTAGCTAGCAGCTGCTTCTCGTTCTCTTTCTCGACTGCGTGGGTGTTGTGCTTGTGTGCTTCAAGGGTGGCGACCAAGCCAAGTATTTATAGCCCAGCGGCAGCCACAGCGAGTCGTCTGATTGGCCGGGTTTTGTTCCAATATTATTGGCGCAACAAATTTCTCGAGTAGGCCCATCTCAAAAAAAAAAAAAACTCGAGTAGGCACAATTCCCTGTATATGTACCACGTTGGTACAGTAAAGCACAAGAAGGTCCACAGACGGCGGAACGTGCCATGCGTCGACGCGCTCTCGTGCGTGGACATTCGATGTCGCATTCTCTCAGCCTAGCTATCAAAATCATGCTTGCATATATGGCTTGGCCGTTGGTTGGCTCCGAAAAGAGATACGATGATGGTACACGCGTACGTGTGTCACAGTGTCTACTCTCGTGCCAACAATAGCTGCGTCTTGTGGACTTGGAGACTTGCAAGTTGCAATATAATTTGGAAGCAAGTACATACTCCGTAGAAAACTAGAAATAACGCACGCCTAACTTACACTGTGTGCTAGCTAGCTAAGCTTAATAATTGGTACGTACCGATGTAGTTCAGAATCTTCGAAGTCTAATTATAGGGTGTTGCTAATGAATAGGCGTGTCAATTTTTATTCCAAAATTTAGGTGCCATTTTCTGACCGTCCAAATGTGATTTTAGGGTTACCTCCTCTGCAGTGCTGTCATGGGAATTTTTAGACCTAGAGCGAAACTGAATTTCTGGGCCTTTAATATAAACACCATAACAATATTTTTATAAACACATGTATAAACAGAACATTACCAATAAACATTTAAAGAGTATCCAAAAATATATTCATAACAAATAAATACTTAATAAATTGCTTTACAATTCTTTGTAATGTTCTTCGATGCAAAGTATCATTAATTCGTCCGAAATTCATGAAGTGCTTGTATAAATTAAAGAGTTAACAGAAACGATCTAACCAGAGCGTCCGACCTTCCCAAAAATATCGGACAGACTCTCCAGGCTCATGTCTCATAGACAACCACTCATTCCCTAATTAATTTCTATCCACTCATTTCTCAGCCTCTATTCTCAGCCTCCACCGACACCACCTCCTACTCTATCTCTTCTTTAAACTCCTCGCTGCGCTGCTTCTGGACGGACTGCACCCAAGCGCCGCTTGTTGGCTACCGCAATTCCTCTCCATGGACACCGGCGATGCCATGTTTCAAGTGTTTCAGACGTATGTTTCATCTGAATATAAAGTATGTTGCAATGGCTATATACACGTGTTGCAAGTGTATGTTTCATGTTGCAAGCGTATGTTTCAAGTGCATGTGTTTTAGACGTATGTTTCAAGTGTTTCATTCGGATGTTGCAAAAGTATATCTGGATGTTGCATAACATGCATATTGCAAAGCATATGTTTCAAGTGTTTCATATAGATATTGTAAGTGTTTTATGTGGATGTTGCATATATTTGCAATGACTTTCAAATGTTTTAGGTGTTTGTGAAAGTATTTCAGACGTATATCGTAAGTGTTTCAGCTGTGTCAGGCACCCAGACGCTAACACTACCGAAGAGTTAAATGCATTGAACCTCAATTAACTTATATGAGGATTTTGGTTAGCTTTCAACACTAAAAGTTGTTTTTTAGGTACATAAACTCACGCACTAATGATGTGTTGCATGTTGGTTCCTAATTAGCCACGCTCTTGTTTTGAGCCAGGCCTAAATGGCCAATTGTCAATTATTAATTGCCACGGGTTGGTACTTTCTAGTACCGGCAGCTAGCTTCTTAAGGTGCTACTGCTAATATACACGTAGTAACTAATACATACATATACAGTTCAAAAAAAATACATACATATACATACTATGTATACCCAATACTAATAGCACAGCGTACATACCCTTGGGAGTGGGAGGCCCCTTTGGTTCGGGGACCTGGAGCGGCTGCCCCGCTCGCCCCCCTCTAGGGCTGTGCCTGCTCCTCCGTCTAGCTAGCCTGCTACCCAACAACCTTCCTCTGAGGTTGCAGGAGATGGAAAACGGCAACGACAACACCCTCCCTGCTTGTCGCCTGAAAGGCCTTCAAGATTTCAGGTGACTTAGTTCAGCTGGTGGGTTCTTTGTGATGGAACCTGTCCACTCATGTGTAAGTTCTTCTGTCGGTGTTTCGTACAAGCACCGACAAGTAAATTTATAGTAATGCGCGTTAGGCTCGGATGGTGCGCTAAAGGACACAAGATTTATACTGGTTCGGGCTGAATATCCCTACGTCCAGTTTGTTGCTGCTCGTGTTATTAGCACCGTGAATGGTTCGTAGTAGGGGATACAAACGATCGAGAGAGGGACATGTCCCAAGTCTCTGATGGAAGGATCGAAAGGAAGCCAAAAGCTTGGTAGCCGCTTGACTATGTGTGTCTGTTGCGTTGTTTTTTTGGTCCCCCAGCTGGAGGAAGCGTATCTCCTTTTATAGATGAAGGGGACGGCTTTACAAGGGTCAGGGCTTATGATCCGTGCTCTACCTAGCCTTGTGGCTCACTTCTACCTAGCCTCCTTACCCATTCTGATGGGTGCGAAAGGAAGATAAGCGCCTACAATACTGTCGATGCTTCTGTAGAATGTCAGGATGGTTATAGAATAGTGCCCTGCGCATGGTATGGGCTGGAGTACAATGGTTTTGACTTATGAACCTCGCCCAGCCTTGCTCCGCACGCCTTCTGGCTCTATGAGTCTCTATCGGAGGGACGCGGAGTCGAGGTCCGGAGTAGCGCTGTGGGCAAGGTCCTTTGATTTGGTGGACCCGAGGGGTCGGGAAGCGGGCGCCGCTCCCTTGGGCCCATAATGTGGTGACGGCATGTCCGTCATTCGTGGAGATCACAAATCCTTTTCTGGAGTGTAGTGGTTGTCGTGTATCTTCATCGGGTCCCGTGTCCCAGAGCTGAAGGCGGCGCCTACAACTCTATAGGGCGAGGAGTACGTGCCTGCAATACCTTTTGGGCTCTGCGGCGCCCGGGAGGGTCTAAAGCACCTGTCCAGTCGTTCCCTGGCAGTACCTTTCCTACCCGGGCGCAGGGTATGGTCCTTGAAGCCGTGGTTGACCCAAACATCTTGTCTTGCACTGTACCCATCATCATGAGGGAACGGGAGAGAAGTTATCAGGTAAGATAAAACCAGCCTTTGGACATCGAACGGGGCGAGGTTCGTCCTCGGTCATTGGGCGAGGCGGAGCCCAGTCCTTATCCCTTGGGCGTGACCGAACCCACCCCTCAGGGGTCGGGCGAGGCAGAGTGTATCCCTCAGCCCTCGGGCGAGGCGGAGACTAGCCTTTAGCCCTCGGGTGAGGTGGAGCTGTCCTGAAGGCGTCGGGCGGAACGGAGGCCAGTCCTTTGCCCTCGGGCGAGGCGGGGCTGGCCCAAAGGCGTCGGTCGAGACGGAGGCCAGCCCTTTGCCCTCGGCCCTTTGCCCTCGGGCAAGGCGGGGCTGGCCCAAAGGCGTCGAGCTAGACGGAGGCCAGCCCTTTGCCCTCGGGGCCCTTTGCCCTCGGGCGAGGTGGGGCTGGCCCAAAGGCGCTGGGCGAGACGGAGGCCAGCCGTTTGCCTTCGGGGCCCTTTGCCCTCGGGCGAGGCAGGGCTGGCCCAAAGGCGTCGGGTGAGACGGAACCTAACTTTTGTCATTCGGGCAAGGAACGCAGCGGCGCCCTTGTTCGTCCAGAAGTTTTTAACACTCGATGGTTATTGGTTCCACCTTCTGGGGTACCATGGTATTAGGTCCCCGACAGTAGCCCCCGAGCCTCCAGGTGATTCGGATAGAACCGCTTGGAGGGTGTTTTTCGATTTCGTCGGAGTCATTTTGCCAGAGGGTGCGCGCGAGCGCACCCGATGGGTGTAGCCCCCGAACCTCCAGGTGATTCGGATAGAACCGCCTAGGGGGTTGTATTGGACCCTTCGCGGGTAAGGCTGAAGGACTTGGTTTTTTCGTCAACTGGATATTTTTTCGAGGGGGTCGTGGTATCCTGTTCGTGGGGATCTCATTCAGGGCTGACCTAACTGGGGCTTGACCATGGATCGAGACCCCAGTAATGCCTGCGCCCTTGATTTCAGATCGTTCACGGACCCACCCTCAGTTGGGCCAGCCGCCGATCTTCTGGGCCCTAGGTGGGCCAAATAGAAAAATCTTTGTGACCTGCCTTCCCTAGGTGGGAAGAGAGTCCAGATTCGCCTAGGGAAGGCGAACCGTCCACCGTGATTCTCGATGGGAAAGGATAGGGACTGCGGGCGCGTGTCCCGCGACGTGACGCGGCGGTGCGCGTGGCAGGCCCGGAGATCGAGGCGGACAGTTGCCCTTCTCGCGCCCGTCGCCCCTATAAAACCACGGGGTTCGCCCCCAAGGTTCCATATTTTGCCCCCTTGCCTTTGCGTCTGAGCCATCCACCGCCAATCGCCCCAGCCTCCTGCGCTCGCACCGCCACCGTCGACCGACTTGCGTCCGTGTTGCAGCCACCGTCAAGCTTGCACCTGTCCTGTAGCCGCCATCGAGCTTGCGCCCACCTTCTCCCCAATCGCTTTAATGGAGTTGTGGGGCAGATCTAGCATCACCTCTCGGTGTTTGGAGGGCCTCGTCCACCGTGGCCTTCTCCGTCCATTGTCCGCCGTTCAGGAGTGGCTGATACCTGGTGACGAGGGTGAGCCGGCGCCGCCCGAAGGGTATGTTGTATCTTTCGCCATCTTTCATGAGCGGGGATTTGCAGTACCTGCGCATAGATTCCTTCGGGGGCTGCTGGATTACTATGATGTGGTGCTGTAGCATCTTACTCCCAACGGGGTTCAACATATGGCGGCGTTTGTTGCCCTGTGTGAGGGTTTCTTGGGGATTGATCCCCATTTTGATTTGTGGCGGTATTTCTTTACCGTCAGTTTGTCGAAGAGGAAGATTGGGGGGAAGGATGGGAACGTGTCGATGGGATGCGCCAGTGTTCATCTGCGCCAT